CTTGATTCTTTTAATTGCATCGTCCACCCTTAACATCCGTTATTCGGTGGCATACGGTTGTTGTTTTCTGTTTTTATCGCTTGAACGCATTCAGGTCATCAGTGACCCTATGTGCGTTTCATTTGTTAGGCCCATTATCGCTCAGCATTTCAATGTCTGCTTTTTTATTATAGTGTCTTCGCTTCGTGAATTCTGTACTTTTCCATTACTTGGCGCTTGATACCGTTATTCGCCATCATTATCAATGAGATTTTGCTTTCTAATGTTAGTTTGGAGACGTTTTGCAAGATTGTCACCAAAACTTGGGCCTTTACCAACTTGTTACTTGTACAAATAATTTGTTTCACCATTTTCCTGCACGTCCTATAAGTTCCGAGTACTCACCATAAGTTGTCCTTAATTTTTCCCAGTCGTGCCATAACTATCCCTTTTGTACCTTTTTTGTTTAATCACTTGCTTTTTACCCCCATTTTAACCGGCTACTATTTCTTGTGAAGGATCTTGGCGTCATTGTGACCCCAAACCTAAAATAGACAAGGTACTCTGAGGAAAGTCACTTCTGCCAGCAGGATGTTTCTCGCCATACGACAATTCTTCTCCCGCCTAACCCCGAAGTTTTTGAGACTCGTGTTCACTGCTCATGTACATCCGCTTCTTGAGTTTGGACCGCCCACTATCTCTCCTTCCAAATTCGTATACAATCTGATTGAAAAAGTTCAGCGGCGGGGATCTAAATCCATCATCAGTTACTCCCTTACTCCCTTCATCTCCAGCGCCAGAACTAGTTCTTCTTAGCTTATCGTCAACATCGCTTTGATTTGCTTTTCACATGGTGCACCGTTAGTTGTGAGCTTGGAGCTGCACTGCATGATTTTTAATTCAATTCCGCCAATTCGACACGGGGTCACCATTGCAAACTTTGAACAGTGGAGACTTCGGGTCCGTTGCGACGTCACTCTGCCTGCTAGAATAGTGAACGAGTGGGAATATCTACCTGTGTATGTCGTTGATGTTTCAAACCGTTTGTATTCTCATTTACTCAATCAACTCGGATCTTGTTGCTTTTGTGTCAATGCAACACGTCCATTGGTTTCGACTTGCAATGTCCACCTTGATTCTCGTGACGAACGGGAAGCGATGCAGCTAACAAAGGGTTCTTTCTTCTGCTCTCTACATTCCAATGATCCAGCATGTAACCGCATACCTGTAGTGACCTGGGGATTTCCCTGTTTGCTTGGATACGATGTGTACAATATCTTAGTTATACACTTTCACCTGGTATGTTGGCAAAGTGGAAGGCTTGCTTTTTGGAATGTTGGGTACGTGTTGGAGTCAATCAGGGTGATCACAAGTAACGCACTTCCGGCTTTCTGCTATGATTGCTGGCGTCATCTGTGGTTACGACCATTTTTTTCCTCCTAGTTAGAACCATTTGCGGTGCCTTTTAGCTAGCGGGACTGCTCCTTTCGACAATTAGCTTATATCTCGCTGATTTACTTGTTTTCTTGCGGCTTTTCCCTAACCCTGGTCGAACTTGGATTTATAGCGGCCGATCGGTTGCGCTTCATACCCGCATTACATTTTTCTTGTTTCTTCTACACTGTTTCGGATTATCATGTCCGATGCACAGAATGGTGACATTCGGGTTTTCGGCTCCATTGGCCATCTTATCTACCGCGGTATTTGACAACGAGCTGCACAAAGCTTGTAACGGTCGATTCTGGTGGCATGCAGTGCTCCTTCGGAGTTTTAATAGCCGTATGTTTGTAAATGTGTTTTCGGCTTTTCTATGACCCCACTTGGAATACTGTAACTAGGCTTATACACCATATATTATGGGGGACAAAGGGGAAATGGAGATGGTTTCGCGAGTGGGCAATAGGTTTGTGCAAGGTTTATGGGGACAGGCGCATCCATAACTAATGCCTAGTTTTGGAATGTACTCAATGCACTATCGGAGAGTTAAAGAGTATTTGATCTCACCATATTTGAGCGGGAAAGATCGGTCCAGGTTTCTCCTGGTATATATATATATATATATATATATATATATATATATATATATATATATATATATATACCAGATCATCGTGCCCATTGCTGAGGCTGGTGTTACATTCATGATGCTTCTTCACCGCAGTTGGGCTAAACCAACTTACACTTAAACCAGGTCTTTTTAATGTGGATAAAATTCATTCCATGTTACCTGCTTTGTTCTCCGTACTTCGTAATCTTCACCTTATTTGCACACGTCGCTCACGCAAATTGTGGTAAACTTGCGTAGTTTTATCGCGTGGTAATTTTTAAACAACTTTCGGACATCTTGTACTTATCACGGATTCACTTATAACCAATTTCTTCTATATGCTCATTTATCGAGTATTTATGTCGTCATATGTGTTTACTTTAATCGATATCGGCATTTTGAATGATTGGCTGTTGTTTGATATCCCAGGTGTGGCTGCGCTTGATGTGCATGTTGACAAGGTGCCTACCTCTCTATTATCAACTACCTTGTCCATACTGGCCCAAGGAGACAGTTGGTCGTTGCTGGAGGGGACGGGGTGCACAGTCGTTGTGGCCGTGCTAGGCTCGAAGAGTGGTTCCATGCACTCAGTGTGGAGCGGACTACGGTCCAGCCACCGCCTTGTGTGCGGTTGATTCCCCAAATACAGTGTGCTTGTGTTTGCCTGGGAGGGAGTGTGGGCCGACTCTGTTGATGACACGTGGCTCCCATCCGCATGCTTCCCGTTCTTATTCCTTCGGATTTACACTGGATATGGGGTGTGTGGATGGAGCTGTGGGTGGTGCAGCGCAAGCCATCCATGGTCCCTCTGTAGGCGCAGGCGTCCTGTGGCTGACCACAGTGACAGGCAAATCCGAAACCGGATGCCGCTAACCATACCAGATCACTGAAAAAGTTCGTCTATCATCCCTCGCCACGAGGGCGATGCATGACAGCAGATTGTCACTCACACTTCTTTAATCGCAAGTTTATTCGGGAAATGGTTTAAGTGGAGTGGGCTAAATTTCATCAACTCACCGGAGTTGTCAGATAAGTTCCGATGTGATTTCCTTGACAAGGGATCTTGCGCAAAGCGCCAGTTTCCTTACTGCTGTCCTGCACACCAGACTTTGGACTCTGGATATTTTTGGATATGCAAAAAGCATTCCAATGGGTGCATCCCGACCATTTACTGATAAAGACGACCCCTTTTGGCGTCCAGATCCCATTACTAACTTGACTATCATCACACCTGTATGGTCGTTCTCAGGTAGTCATTTTTGGTGACTGTCACTTTTTCGAGTCCAAACAAGTGCCATCGGTCCATTATTCTTCCTCCTTCATACCAACGATCTCATTATATTTGTTAAACATGGTATACCGTTCTGATTTATGGATGATATAACGATTGTCTACAAGTTCCGACGAGTTGACTCTCTGAATATACTACTACTTATTCAGGATGGCCTTCAATCCCTTGAAACATGTTGCGACAAGTGGATGATGAAGTTCTCAGCACAAAAATAATGTATCATGTGTCGCAGTTGTTTGATACTCGAATGGTCTACCACACAGCATCAAATGGATCTATGTACAGCTCTCTACCCACGATCTTGGAATCAAATATTCCTGTACCTTTCCTGAGTAGGTTGAATATCAGATGGCCCGGATCAGATAAGCTATAGCTAATAAATCTCACGAGGTGCAAATATTCACAGCCAGCGTTGAACTTTTAAACTCTTCATCCATCCCATCTTGTAATATTGGAGGATAATTTGTGGCAGCATGAAGAAATCTGACGGAACAGCTATATAACGTCCACAGCGGTCGTTTACCAAACGCTTACTAGGCAAAATTCTACCATAAACTATCGGGAGCGGTGCCAACAACAGCCTCACGACTCGCTTTGATTATAAAAACTAAATCATACTTGTATATTGCTGTACAAGTGGGCTCAAAGTATGCCTGTTGCAACCTGTCCCACATTAAAATTGCAGTGCAACTCCAGTCGGGACCATAATGTGGACTGTACGGTGGTTATATCAGAATGCAGGATAAATATGCATTCCAACTTTTTTTCTAAACTGATATACTTTCTTGTGGAATGGTCTCTCAATTACAAGCAGGTAGTGTGACGGAGCGCAATTATCTCGCAATAAGCTCGGAAGTTACCTCAACCTGCACACGATTCTGATCTTGTTCGGTTGGGGGGAAATTATCAGAAACCTATCTCACGAGGATGCAGACAACATCGAATGCGTGAAACAAGGGAAACTCACGTGGTATAAGCAGCCCTCGGTTCTACAATATCTTCAAAGTGTAACAGTGCCCTGCACCTTCGCTTAAAACGCAAACGTGTGTGGCATATATGTTGCTAGAAACACAGATAAAGGCAAACTCAAAATTGCATATTGCCCATGCAATAGCATCTTATTACCTGTACATATATGATCTGTGCCAAATATGCACACAGCTTCTCATTGGATGAGAAATATCTCAAATTTATTCTTACTATTGAGTATCATTGTAGCACACCAGCGGACCACTGATGCCTTCTTTAGACCTAGTTCTTGGCTTTTGTTTGGCCAATTCCACTTCTGATTCTCAGGATTGGTAGTCTGAATTCAATTGCGCCACTGTCCTCCTCTGTTTGCTTTTCTGCTATGGCGCTTTAATGTAGACTAGCTTTTGTGTTTTCGATGTTTCCATCTTCCATTTCTGTCCTCCACGATGCTTCTCGATTTTGTTCGAACTCATCAGTTAGAGATGGGTAGAGTTAGGAGTGGAACTTGGCACCTAGCGATTCGCGGCTATCCCCATGATCACTAGGCCATTGAGCTCCGCTGCAAAAAATCAGCATTTGCGTTTACTAGTTTGCTCAGAGTTCACGCGTACACTAGTTCCTCCCTCGGTCTTATCTACTTTGTTGCTATTTGCTCAGTAGTCGTGATTCTGAATGTGTCTGATCCCTTATATCTTACATTTTATCATTTAGATTAAAGAACTACAGCTATGCCAACAACATGCTTCACGCGTCGCGGAAAAGACTCGAATGAAAAATCCGAACCAGCCTGATGGTCTTTATCGTTTTCACGTCCAAAACCTCGAATTTCACCACGACCCGATACATCAAACTTTACGCGCCCGTTTTCCCGATGCCTCGGTTGCCATACACAACGTGCTATTGTTATTCATGGAGGAAGGACAAGAATGGACCGTGTTTGGCACCAATTCTGATAAGGATATCACCTTGAAATCAGAGAAAATTTTCACGCTTATTGTGTGTGCTCACTGTATATCAGGTGTGTAGTTCGGAATCACAGTTTCCGTATTGTCCGCGCTTGCCTTGACATTTGGTGACATGTACTGATATCCTTATGCTTTTGGGGCGATATCATCTAGTGATTCAGCTAAGGTTAGCATTGGGACCAGGGGACTTATTGAATCGGTTTCCGACTTTTCACAAGATCACCCATTTACAAACTTTCCGATTGTTTATGCTTCATTCTTTCTGGTAACGATCACATCTCTCACAGCTGTCACAGCTATTCTCGATAACTTTCGCTGTTGATTTCTCTAAACACATGAGGCGTTGCCGTCATGTCACTCTAATCTGGCCCCACCATTTAAATGCTTCTGACACATACATGTTGCATCATGCCTTATAAACAGCATCAAACCTACCCTCATCTACATAGTCGATTAGAGATTGTTCCAGTAGGCCGGTCGCAATGAAGACATTAGGCACTGCATGCGATTTCGTTTTTTCGTTCCCTTTCTCCGTGCTGTTTGATGGTCGGCTTATTTGTCGCTATTAATCGCCTGTCCTAGCTCCGCGGTAGTCCTTCAATACTAGTTGAATGATTCTGTGCCTATGGATACAATCCGTATCGTGTATCACTTCTGTGCATTTCTAAAGTGGTTCTGTTGGTCACTAAGAACTGCGAATCACACCAGACTGCTAGCTATTTTGGGAGTACACTTCTTCTGCCCCCTAATCTGTAGTCAGCCTCACTCCGTACCCTGTCGGCCCGTACCCTTAGTGATCAAAAACCTGCCTTGTAATCCGAGGGCGCGGGCTCGACCCTGCGTAGGGACTGTGTGACTGTTGATTGTTGTGCGGCAGCGAAGCGTCGGTGCTGCGTACCGGCTTACTGCTGATTCCTCAATCCGTACCTTCCTTGGCAAAACCAAACATCTACACAAACTCTTTATTTGTGTCTGTGATTTCACAGGAAGCATCCGTTTGACGTTGGAATAGCAGTATCCGCTGTGTGATTGGATTTGGACACGCAATTTCTATTGAGACTTCGGTTCATTTCGAAGTAGACTTTCAATCACGAGCACCGCATCCTTATTGGAACAATACTGAAATTCCTCAATGCATCGGTATAATGACATTTGTTGGGGTTGATTGATTACCAGACTTTTGTTAAGGTAGCTTTAGTCACTTTCTTCAGTATGGTTCATGTACTACCGGTTATTTCGAGCCACGAAACACAAGATATCATTCCGACCTGCAACCGTACTACTGCTGCTGCATAACTGACCTGTCTATTTCAGTGTTGTTTGTGTTCAGTTGTTCGTTGGGTCTGACTGATTAAGAGGTGGGGCGTCCAATGCTCTTTCCAAGTGCTGGTCTTGGCGACCTTCGAACACCTTGGCTACTTTTGATTGCGGCTTCATTCTTCATTACTTCTGATCGTGCACCAAACGGACATCGACGAATGAGTAGCTTCGCATTCTCTCATGTTATTTTTTCCACTTCTACATTCAGTTTGTCAATACACCTGCACTTGATCATCTGGTTCCCTTATCCTGGGTATGTAGTCTACGAATGTATCCCTTATCGTATTGTGTTTCACCGATGTTGTTTCACATTCACTCCGAACATCCGCTTTCTTTTCTAGAGCCAACTTCGCTCTCTGAAATCGTATTTCTCGTATTCGCCAGGGAAACTTCGACTTCCACCTCGGTAACTCGACTTCTCAATCCATTGGATCATACCGCAAGCTTTACCGCGACGAATGTAAGTATAAATTGATTATGCAAGATTTTGCTTGGGCAAAGTTGTGGACCAGTATGGTTTTGCATTTTCGGTTCCGGCGGTGTTATTGTTGCATCCCATCCAAAGCCAACGTTCTCCCTCGTCTACCGCTTCACGTGGGTACACTGTCGTTCTCGTTTTTTTCTGTTAATTTAGTATGACCTATCTGTCTCATCTTATCCTCTTTCCATGCGTTTGCATATCACTACTTCACGTCCAACACGTTAGCTATCGCCTCGCTAAGATTTCTATAGCAACTATAAGACTTCCAACCCCCCACTCTTCTCCATCTTACTTTGGGTTCTGGATTTGATGCTGGCGGTCTATTATCTTCCACGTCGGGTTGTTCTGTTTTCGGTCTCACTTTGAGATGACCTGAACAGACGGACGTGGCTTGTATTGTTTACAACTGGAAACAAAGAATGAACTTAATTATTTCACTTTTCTGCGACTGTTTTCATTGTAGCGCTTCTCTGGTTTGTCTGCGTTAACGCTACTCGAGGACATACAGAATAAGTGACTCTCTTGGAGCTTGCGTAGTCTGTATGAGCTATTCCAAACAAACACTAATCGCTGCGGGCGCTTTACTCCGATGAACCGAAAGGTGCCACTTCTGGAATTGGCAAACCTTCGTCGATCCAATTTTTCACCTATCTGCCATTCTTGATGGCTGAATCTTCTGCTGTGATCAAATCACCGAAGGAGCCGGGCGTTGTTTCTCCGACTCAATCATCTTTCAAGGTGGTGGTGGATTACGTTATCATTCAAGCCCTGCGCAACTGGTGCCACTGTACGGAACCTAGTTGTTTTTGACCACTGATGCCCACGTACCATTGCTCATGCCTAGTGGGATCATGAACGAATTATCACCGTTGTCCACCGGCCATCGCTTAGTAACAAATCGTTTACTGTGGCACTACATCATCTTGTGCATGTGCACCGTCTGCACCGTTTTGGTTAAATCCTCTATGTACCTATTGAGCTTCTACCTGGGTAAGTTTTCCCGACACTGTTTGGTTGGGTGCATCCTAAGGGCCACCAACGGAAGTCATTGAAGGACTTAGTCCTGAATTGTATGAAACCAACCACCTAGATGTAATGTTTTGAGCGGGACACTGTACTCATTCTGGTCAAATGATGAGCATAAGGTAGCGATCTACAGTGGCTGCACAAGCTGGTTGTGGACAGATCAACTGACTCACCTGACGTCGAAATGTGAAGTCACACATTATGACAGTGCAATTGGTTTACAACCTACTAACATGCATGTCCTGCATCAACAAAGACGGATATCAACGTCGAGCAAACAGCGCGCCCGGAATCTCAGCCAATAGAGCGAACGATGCTTATCACTGACAATAGAATTGAAGGAATAGCTACACTGAGAGATAACGGTCATCGAGTGTTGAAGAGAAATCTAACTGCGGCGCGACCGTATGTTACCGTCTTGGACTCAAAGCTTAGGAGGAGTTTGAGAGTGGCTTGGCTTGTCAACGCTGTAGTCCTTTTCAGATCCTTAAACTGGTGAAGGAACCACGACACAAAATGCAAAATGGAACTGGAGGTCCCCGTTCATATGTTTCCGATTGATACATAAAACGGTATCGGTTCAATGTTCAACCTGTTGAACCTCGAGCACCATACAGCCATGCCGGAGCGTTCGTACTCCAATCCAACTTCACGAAGAAGTGCTCCAGACAGGTCCCCGGAATAACAGCCTGTGTCGCTGCGGAACCACCACCCGCTTGTTGACAATGTAGCTGTTGGTGGTGTTCTTCATCTTTGACTCCTCAGCCCGGAAGACGTACGGGTCCGACAACAGTTGGACTGGATGTCAGCGTCTCAACGTTTTGTCGCCACCGCACGCTGTTTTCCAGTGCGGCCCTGCGTGAGCGAATAGAGCACGCCTTTGTAAACGCTCGCATGGCATGCGTTGGACGTGACCTAGCCACCTCAGTTGGCCCAACGGTATTAGTGTGTCGACTTGGAGACCGGCCTAACATCGTGGTTGCAAATGTGGTGTTCCAATCACACACGAGCTATCGTGCGTGTCGGACGCTACGGGAGCAGGTCTATCCCCAGTAAGGAAGAACAAACAAGATGAGCATGCGGTAGATGGAGTTTATTCGAGAGTGAAACGTGAACTTGACGGGAATTAAATTACACTGTATGGACTACACTAGCTGTTGCTCGGTGCTGGTTTCAAATCAGCACTAGTCTGTTGATCGATGCCTTTCCGGTGTGTTGCAGTCTGGTCATCAGCTGGGTTTGACTTCGGGCTCAGCTCTTTTTGGACTTTGGGGCGGATGATTGAGTGATAACGATTTGCGACCTTCCATTTTCTGCGCTTGCGAAACCGTACCCTCCTGGCAATTAGCAAACAACGGTCTCTGTGGTAACTCGGTCAACGATCACCTTCTCAACTTTCATTTAGCGTTATCGTCTCCTTCACATGCAATGCGGTTGCTAACTAAATTCTTCGAGTCGGGCACATTTGTTTCGAATTGTTTACCGTGCTGTTATTGTTTTTACTCCAAAAGGTGTCAGCGGTACTCCGGAACACAGTACTGACGATTCGCTGCCCCGCGAAAACCAACAGTCACTCGCGGGCTAAGGATACTGTGAAGGTCGTCCGATCCCTACGCAGACTCGAACCCGCCTTCTCGGATTATGAGGCAGGTTTGTGATCCCAAGGCTGCAGGCTATACCATGTTGTCACGCTACTGGGGCAAATGCGGCGTTTGTGAAAGAGCAGTAGAAGAATTTAAACAATAAGCGTAATTTACCACTTTTGCACTGAGTTTCACAGTGCGTAACCCGAAGCTTGTGGCGACTAACCATAATTCATTTCCTTCACCGAACTCATACAAGCGTCAACTTGGGCCTCTGCCCCGCATTGGATACTGCCAACTACCATGATTCAGCAGCTGCTTGTGATGTGACTGACGTTCCCGGAGCGTAACACGTTGGTTTGCAGTAGAATGGCTTCGAAGCTGAAAGTCTCTGGAGACTAACAGGTGATTGTCCAATATGGGTGGATAACCGTCTAAATAAGCCGTGTTGGCTTAGACAAGTGCTACGTACGCCCATTAACTACTGACAACTAACTTGGTTGCTGTTGGTCTGTCTCTCTTTCTAGGCCGGAGTCCACGCTACCAACCACATGCTTCGCTCACAAATTTGAAGTATATGACTCATAGCGGAAGACCATGGCATGTTTACTATCGTCTCGCAACCGGACTGCATGTTATGAGAGTGTCTGGTGCTGACTTGGTTGCGGATTAGTGAAACCCGCAAAGAAGCCGTCTCACTAATGTCATCTTAATTGCACAAGCTAACCAGCTGTGTTTGACCGTTACTGACACGATGTAGACGCCTTAACCGTGAATATTTTCCAACTGAGTAGCCATCTTTTCCCTCATCACTGTTCTTCAGTAGCTGAATCAATTTGGGCGCATGTCTGCGAAACATCATAGCACCAGACATCGATGTACCGCTGTTGTTGTTGTTGTCGTTGCTGTTGTTGTTGATGATGACGATCTAATGTGTCTCGGTCCACTTTCATTTGCTTGAGCGCCACTACTTCGTGGCACTCGCCTTTCATTCTTGACCCACAGTGTACGCCGTTGCTAATCCTCGAAACAACGAATTGGCCGTATGTTATTCGTGGTGGCAATGGTTATCTAAGCAAATACAGTTTTGACGAACTCTAGTTGTAACATTAGTGATTCACTGGTGAATCACGTGATAACACCTTACTCTGATGTGCTGATCGCGCGGCAGCGTAGTGTCGGTACTGCGTACTGGCGTACTGCTGATGATTTCCTTCCTTTCTTTTTCCTTGATTTGAGTCTGACACCCTGTAGCGTATCTGCTTTCCTTCGGCATTCATTACGCTGCTTACAATGTTAAGTAATGCGTTTTTCCCTCATAATCAGTGCTGGTAGAGTTCGTTGTGGTTTGTTATAGGTAAATTTTCAGGGTTGCTCGTCCCATGAATCTACTCCTGCACCTCAACAGTAATTTGGCAACTATGGATGTTCACGGAGTTCGTTAATATAATGATGTAGGCATTTGGTGGATAACTGTATCATCTATTGTTATATTTGTGTTATATCCATCGTACGAGTCCATTTGGGAATCAAGCTAATGTTGGTGCTTGGTTTCGTGAGAAATTGACACGAACGATCTCACTATTCCACCTGCGTTTTCGTGCCTACATTGATCAGCGGTTAACTGGGGATGCATTGAGGCCCATTCTGTTGCTGTGCAAATCCACAACGATCAGTGCAAGTCCACGTATGATTCATGCGTTTGTTCGTCATACGGTCTAGTTGGAAATTCAAGCCGCACCCAACTACCTGCTGATTATTATATTCATCGGTGCTTCGTATCTCCGACACACCTTGGACTGTTTGGTGAACTGGTACCTTTTTACACCTAGCGTCCCTGACCTCTTACCCTTAGAATTATAAGGTTTCTGCGGTTTTTTAATCCACATTTTGGCAGCCCGGCGCACCCTAAGCCCTATAATGCAAAGCCCCATCTGGTTAAAATCTTTTCGCACCACTTCCGTTTTTGACTTGAAACCTTTAGTTACTCTATCATCATTTGTAGTTTTCTTGCACCGAGGCGCTGTTTCCCATGTCACCTGCAACTACAGCGAGTTGATGACCATCTAGTTAAGATCATAGTTTCTCTGGTTACCGCCTCTAGGAGCTTGGTACCACTTAGTCAGTCTCTGAGCCGCCAATTGGTAATTGACCCGTATGTCTGACCTGCAAAGTGTCATGCTACCGCACCGCTTCATCTCCTGCCCATGTTGTCCTCACCTTTACCACCACAGTGTTTAGTTTTTTTTCTGCATGATGTTGTGGAGGGTATCTGGTCGGGAGGAACGCGACGGTCCCAATCCTTGTCTTCCAACTCATCTACACAACTCGAAATGTCTCAACTGGTGTTTTACACGGCTCTTGATCACT